AAGTTATTTTAGTCAAAGTTTTATGAAATAAATTTTAATTAATTTGTACAGGAACCTAATTGCACCATACACATACTTTATAAAATTCAATTTGACTCAATGTGACCATTTTTTAAATTGATCCACGTAACATGTGTGTCCACGAATCACGTTAGTTCTAGTAAGGCCCTTAACAAACTTATCTACATAGAATCTAACTTGATGGTTTAACTATTTTTATTTTACTTTTAAGAATCCATATAAATACACTACTAGAAAAATACTATTTAACATCGCTATATTTACATCGATTTCAATAGAATCGATGTAAATAAGAAACGCGGTGACAATTTTGTAAATAAATAAAAGATGTAAGCATATTTACATCGGTTATGTAGAGAACTGATGTAGAAGTGAAGGCACATTTGCACGACACTCACAAAAACCCTAATGAGAAACGCCATCTGTTCCCCTACTTTATCTCTTCCAGAAATCAACGCCATCCCCTTCCCCAACTTCATGCTCGTCGCAGTCGAGGCCAGCAGCCTCCCCCGTGGCCTCATCCTCCTCCTCTCCGTTCCCTTCATCATCGTCGCCTACCACTCGTCTTCGAAGCCCAACGCTTTGGTGCGGCGGCCCATGGTGGGCGAGTTGGGTCTGGTCCCCTATGCTGTGGGTGGCACCGCCATAAGGGAGTGGGCGCTCCTCATAGTGTCTGACGCAACGCTCGCCCAAACCCTAAGGGGATGCTAGTGCGTGCTATCCCTGTTGAGCCTGCACCTGATAGGGCCGCACAACTTCACCACGCGATGGCGGCGCTGGCCATGGCATCCTTGTCCGTGCAGAGGTAGGTCACGCCAAACTCCCCCAGTCCAGCTCTCGCCCTAGCTCGTAGCGGGCCCCAATCTCCCGGCCCGTGGGAGACTTGAGGACAGTGAGCTTGGCTCCGTTGGAGGTGGCGTTGTTGGTGAGGTCGTAGTCGATCGCGAAAGGGTTCTCCACTGCCTTTGAATACAATTTTTTAATTTAAAAAAAAAATAAAATTTGCATTAGTTTTCTAGGAACCAATGTAGAAGTTTATACACTTTTTAAGTCGTTTTATTCTACATTGATTTTAGAACTGATGTAAATAACATTACAAAACCGATGTAAAATATGCATCCCGTAAAAGTAATAGTTGAGTTACAACATCTGAATATAGTGTAATTAATGTGTTATATATATTAGCTATTAGCTAGAAGTGTTCAAACTAACTCCTTTCTTACCATATATCCCTCTCCAAATTGCTAGACACCACCTTATAATTCCTCCAAAATCTCTCTTGATATGGTTTAACCATTTATCACATCATAGTGATTTTACTGACTAAATTTAAATTTATTATAAATTTAATATAGCATCTTAATAGTATATTTTAATAAATAAAAAAAGTTGCGGTACATATTTGTCCTTTACAAAATTGCCGAGGATGGTTTTTTACACCAAGAATGGTTTCGCTTCCATGGAAATTGTGGTGGACCTGAATGTATTGTTCTATGATGAATTATTTTTCAAATTTTCAATTTTTATGCAGTGAAACTAGATTAGACAAAGAAGAATAGTTAAAATTAGAATTAATCATTGCACGCAATTCATCATTGCATAATTAGATCGTAAGTAACTCAAAAGTATGTAATATGTTGATATCCCTTGAAGTGTACGAGCTTGTCCACTTTATGTGTATGATGTATAATACCTACATCATGGATATTGTATTAATAATTAATAACGACTAAAGTTTAGAAAGTGCAACAAATTAAGAAATACCTTTTTTTTTTCTTGTCAGGTAACGTATAACACCTCAATATTTCTATAAATAATAATAAAATGTGTTTATAAATAATATAGTCTTTTAAAACAATTAAGTGTGTTTTTATTTCATTAAGAAAAGTTTTGTGAAATTATATGATATCATATAAATTATTTAGAAAGATATGTGTTTTATATTTATTTTAATTAAAATAAGGTTGATTTTAAAAAGGGAATAAGGTTACAATTTTTTTTTTTTTTTTTTTACATTTTCTTTCTTCTTTCTCTCAAATGTTTAAGGAGAATGGAAAGGTCACTAGAACGCATGTCAGACATTCCTGATCTTTGTCTAACATTAAGGTAAAGGGGTAAATTATTATGCTCTAAGATGTTGAGTAATTGTTTGGATATCAATATTAACCTCTAATTCCTTTGTTGTGTTTTGTTTTTTTATAGAGGTTAAGATCGTCTTTTGACTTAACAATATGACTACCCGACCTTATCTCACATCGGGAGTGAAAGTGAGATGTATCTCATCCCCTTACTCTACTTGTTGTTCTTATGCATGTTTTGTAGTATTTATTATTTTATTTACTTAGTGTATTTCATCTTGTTTAGGAATGTTGTTAGTCTTTAGAATTATGTATTTTTTTTACAACCACTATGGTCTAATCATTATTTTTGAGACAATTATGTTTTGAAATTATTCCATTTTGAACCAAATGTGAATCTTCTACTTTAGAGGTATTTTATGAACTATTATTTATTTCAAATAAAGATTTATTCAGACTAGATCCTTTTGCTTCATTAGTACTTATGAGTATGCGGGGTAGATGATATCATATAACAAGGTTCATAGGATTACACCACTCCAAATATGAAAAAGACTTAAAGTTTAGGTATTGGATTTTTGCCTCGAGTAAATCAGATAATCTTCTCTAGGTTTTGTTTCTTGTCTTTCCACTTGTAACTTTGCCACCAAGATACTCACTCGATATAATAATGGAAGTAATTAATGAACAATGTTTTTTACCTTGATATTTGTTACTATTTATACTAAACATAATGGACTCTAGATTTGTGGACTTTGGTCTAAATTACCAATTAGGTATTATGCCTTAGTCAAAGATTAGCTTTTATTTACTTGCTTAGCCATAAAATGTTAGTACTAATAAGGTTATAACTTTAGGCATCCTCGACTATTGATAGTTAATCGGACTTTGATAGCTGAGAATGTCAAACGAGCTTTTTTGTACCTATTTCAAATTTTCTATAGCTAAAAATTTCTATGGATTAAGACTTCAAAGAAACTTCTCTATACTCTAATATCTTCTTTGACTAATATTTTTAGTTTTAGAGAACTTTGGCGTATGATAGAGAAAAATGGACTTTTTTTTTCTATCAATCCACGTGGTATTTGGTCTATCGAAATATTGAATACTCTTTCGATATAGAATTATAATTGTAATCTCACTTTATATAAATTAGAATTATCATTTTGAATAAAAAGTACTTTTTTAGAGATTTTATTTTAATGATAAAGTATTTTAAAAAAATTTCTTTTATAAGATTATTTAAAATATATAATCAAAGACTGAATTAATAATTTTATTTAAAATTTCCAAATATTTTAAAAACTATCGGAATAATTTAGCCTCCATTAATTACGAATATTTTTTTCCTCTCTCTCCACATAAATTTAAACATTTCTACATTTAAGAAGCAGTTGCCATTGAATAAATCATCAGCGTATGCTCTTGGAAGGAGTTGAAAAATACAAGGCCTCCTAAGCTTTGTTTGGACGAGGAGAAACAATTGAAGGAATAGAAAAAGAATATGTGAAAAATGAATTATTGAGAAATATATAGAAAATAAAATGAAAATTACAGTTGTTTGGAATAATAAAATTAAGTGAAAAATAAAAATTAATATTTTAAAATTATATTTATATAAAAATAAATAATTTATATAATTACTATTTTATATTTATCTATATTTTTTTACATAACATATTTAATTTTATTTTTTAATATAATTTACTAACATAATTGATTATACTAATAATAGATAACCAATTATACTGCATTCTATTGCAATGCTCTGTTTTATAGTAGCTACATAATCGATTATACCAAAAATGTTCTGTGTTATAGTAGCTACATAATCGATTATACCAAAAGTATAATCAATTATTTGACTTTGCTATACATAGAAAAAATAGGATGAGAAATTAAGTCGCAGATAGTACAAAATTAGGACAATTTTTTTTTTTATAATCAAAATCTCAATCTTACAAGTTCTACTCATCTTTATCAGATATATTATATCTGTTTACATACACGTTAGAAACACTTTTAGATATAAATAAAAAAAATATTTTTATCTAGATAAAACTTTTAAAAGCACTTCTATATTTCTAATCACACAAAAATCTTCTTAATTCCTCTCAATTCCACGTTCTTAACTCTTAAGCATAATTTTTTTTTTTGAAACCATCTTTCTTATCTCCAAAAAATGCTAATTCCAACTCCAGACACACCGCAAATGGTTGAATAGAAGAAAAATTAGAAACACAACTCGATGATAATTTTCATGTATGCAAAGAAAAGTCACATCATGTGCATTAAAAAGATGGTGTCCCACTTGCAGAAACCCACTCAAATGCCCTCTGATTGGCCTACTTGGAGATGGGGCCATGGCGTGGGACGGTGTGTCCCATACCCCATCCCTCTTCTCTGCTACAAAAATGGAGCATATATTATTCTATTATCATGTTCTTTTCACCAACGGTCTGTTTCTTTCGGGAAACAGATTCACAATGAGGAGAAACAAATCATGTACACGTTATTTGCTTGTTTCAGTCATTAAAGAAAAAAAAAACACGAGACAATGGGAAATATCACTCAAATGTGTTTGGATGGATGATGAGTTACCTACACTTATGTTCTTATTGTGAAAAACTGAAAGCACTCTTCAACATGAAAACTATGAATACTTTTAATGTAGGATGAAAATGACATGATCATATATTTTAAATTGATAAAATAAAAGAGAGATAAAGATAGTGGTATTGCAAACTGCGAAAGGTTTATCGTATCAACAGAATTCTAAACTCTAACGATGTTATCGTTATTATTGTAAAAATAAGAAAAGTATTTTACCTTAAAATAAACTAATTTCGTTTGTAGGCGCCTATGATGTCCCACGATATATACAATTGGAAATACGCACACTTTTGCAAGCGTGTTCCATACATACACTCTCCTCAAACATTTTTCATTCTCAGCAGTCACAATATCCCTTTCCTTTTACACAAGACACCAAAGTTCACAGCTTTTTTGTTCTTTCCCTCGATTCACGAACTGGGTCACCCTTTGATTTTCGATTGGGTTTCGAGCCACACCCCAGATTCCACTTTCTTTGACTTTCAACCTAAACCCAGGTATATAGTACTATAAAACCTCATCACCTTCTTCTATATTTATGCCCTTTCCAGATATTCTTTTTTTTTCCTTTTTCCTTTTTCTTTTTTACTAGTATTTATCTCTTTCTCTGAATTTTTGTTTTTTAGTGCTGTTGTGTGATTTGAAGGAGAGTTTTTAAAGTGGGTTGGTTTTGGATTTCTGTCACTGACGCGTCCTGGGTCGCCGTGCCCGTGCTTTCCCTCCCTTGGATTCCGCTGAGTGTTTCTGTGCACGAGAACAGTGAAAGTTGGTAGCTTTATCGGAATATGATGAAATTTGGCACTACCCTTTAATTGTTCTTGCTAGTTTTTAAGCTTGGTCGATTCTGGGTATTTGAGTGTATCATTGCAAAGTGGAAAGTTTCAATTTTGGGGGGCTTCTGCTTCTGCTTCTGTTAATTCTTAATTGCCTTTTGAAGGAGCTCAAGTAGTCAATTTCTAGCTTCCTACTTCTCTCTCACGTTTTGGGGTTGAGTTTTGCCTTTCTTTCCTTCTAGTTTTCCTTTCTATGTTGGTTTGCATGCAGTGAAGTTTGTTTCTATTTTTGGATCTGCTCAAGCTAGGTTTTTGGGTTAGTTTGTTTAAGTCTGTTTGGTTGAGCTTGGTTTATGATTAGTGAATTTTGTGTTCTCTGTTGGTACTAGTTTGTTCAGCTAGTATTTGATGTAGCATATGTTTCTTTGTGGGATTTTAACTTCTAAAAGAATAATTTCTGTATTGTCTTGGTTTTGTTGAAGTTAGGGTGAATTGACTTTCTTAGCTTTTTGTGGTTTGACAGGTTTCCAGTTACAGTGTTAGCACCATGGATTCCCCTCAATCTGTTGTGTCACCCTTCAGGAGCTCAGTGTTGGGTGAGAGTGAGAAGCACAAGTCTGATGTTTTCTCGGGAAACTCTAGTCCTTTGTCCAAGGACATTGAAGTGAATGGGAAGGAAGTTGTCATGTCAAATGTAGATGAGTTTCTTGGAGTGCTCGATGTTTACATACACCAGGCCAGGGACATTCAAAACATTTGCATATACCACAAGCAAGATGTTTATGCTAAGATTTGCCTGACCAGTAACCCTGAGAACAGTGTGTCTACCAAAACCATCAATGGAGGAGGAAGGAACCCTGTGTTCAACGAGAATCTCAAAGTCAATGTTAGGACTGTTGATGCTTCTCTCAAGTGTGAGATATGGATGCTTAGCAGGGTGAAAAATTATCTAGAGGACCAATTGCTTGGTTTTGCTTTGGTGCCTTTGTCTGAAGTACTAGTCCAGAATGGGAAACTTGAGAAAGAGTTCTCTCTTTCTTCAACTGATCTGTTCCATTCTCCTTCAGGTTTTGTTCAGTTGTCACTTTCTTACACTGGTGCTTCACCTGATGTTATGGCAATTTCTGCTATGCCGACCAAGGTGGCCACGGATGCTGCAACATCCGAGTCACTAGCAAGGGATTTAGACAAAATTGAGTTTCCGGATCCTAAGATTGTGAATGAAGACCACTTGATGGTTTCGGAATACTTTGGTATTCCATGTGAGGAGACTCAGTGTTCAGATAGCTTGGCTACTTCTGATGCAGAAAATCAGAGTTCCGAAGCCGGTGTTCGGCTTGTGGAAAGCTTTGCAGCCTGCAGTGTTGAATCTGTTCAGCCTCCTAAGGTTGATTCCCCACCAAGCAGTGTGTCAACAAATGGGGTTTCATCACCTTCTGTGCCTGCAAGTTCAGAATCATCTGATGCTGCTGCTTCTAAGCCTCCGAGTCAGGAGCAAGTTTCAGGCACCAAAGAGGACAAAAATGTGGATGCCAAAGATGGTGAGAGTGATTCCTCAAGTGGGGTTCCTAGTGACTCATTCCCTAAACCTCTTGTGAGTGTAAACATTGAGCCTGAGCCAAAGGTGGTTCAGCAGGATATAGGAGGCATGGAACTGA